ACACTAAGTAAAACCTAATAAATAGTTGAGGTTAAACCTACTAATAAGTTGGCGAGTGAGCTACTTACAATCCAAATGATATTTCATCATTCTCTTCTTTGGCACCAGACAAGCATGCATTGAAAAACACTTGATCATTGCACACTTTCCTCTTTCTATTATCCTCTTCGATAACTAAATCACCAAAATACCGCCAACAAAAACTTGTCTTCAGTTTGGCGTCGTATAAAATAGACACCGAAAACTGTTTAATTTTAGTGTTCTTGAAGGTTGTCATTTTTTTTAGTTATTGACCGCACGTGCGATCCTGTGAACGAATTTTGATGTAATGAAATGCCCAGCCCGGGTCGGCCGACAAATCGCCCGCAGTCATGTCGCGACAAGTCGCGCGGAGTTCAATCACCTCGGCCGGCGCGCCGGGCAAATTTCGCGGCGGCGGCGGCGCAGCCCGAGCTCGGCGCGGCGCCGCCACGCCGGCGCGGCTCGCATGTCTAAACCATATACATATTAAGTTGCGTGCAAGATAAATGTTCAGCCTAATTAGTATTACCTACATGAAAAATACATATTCTACTGTTTTTGACACAAAGTTAAAACCAACCACCAATTTTAACCCAAAGAAAACTGTCATACGCTATGATGGGTTACAATTTAGAACAAAAAAAATAAGCCTGTGAATCAGGAGCTCTTGTTCAATTTTGCAGGAATTTATATGTGTAAGTTCTTTTATATCAGTTGAAACTTATACTTAATTTGCTCATAGTCAGCATGGATGACAGCTGCGAGCAGATCTATGCAACTACAAGAATTTAATTTGTATACAACTTAATGTGAAAGATATGTCAAATCATTAATAATTTTCTCTGATTTTACTTATAATATCTAGTCAATAATGACATTTCTAATGGGTTTCTATAACAAACATTGTTTTAAATTTAATCTTGTATAGATTTTCCACAGTATATATTATGTTGCCTTGCTTGATTCGGTGTACAGATGTAGGTATAGCCAGATTTCGAAAGATATTGGATTCATTTCATCATCAATAATTCTCTCTTAAATGTCTACTTTGAGTCGACTATCGTTTATCTTCTTCACTATGTTATTGATACGTAAATTGTTTAAAGTAAAGTATACATCTCTGGATTAATGCTCGTCCTAGTCTTGGACTGATTGCATACCTCACTTATTACAGTTTGTACTAACAAACTGTAATAAGTGGTTTCGGTCACTAGACCGAAAATGAGTCAAAACTTTTCTGTTCACGACCTACCTATGTAGGTACCGTTTTATTTTACGGAATCATATTATTCACTTTCATGCTACTTTATCTCACGTAATAACATTTATTTTGCGAATTAAAACTCGGTATAAACAATAAAATAAACCAACACCATTCGAATTTTGAAACTTAACTCTTTAAGCTTGACGTTATCTTTAGTCGACGCCAGGATTTATAGTATTTCATCTGACTTTTTTGTTAATTAAAAGACTTAATTATATCGGATTTATGCTTTAAATATTAAGCATGTTTAAAGTTGAGTGCTTAATAAAAGTTAGAATTGGGTATATGACAATTTTCTGAAAACTAATTAATTAAAATAGTTGTTTGATACATTATAAACACACTGTCAATATATTACATGAGAATCTGTTCTATTTTCGATGAATATAATTGTTTAAATCTACAGATTCTAAGAAATAAACTTTTATTAGATTATTATCTAACATGATGATAATAGTACGAAACTTATTTTTATAGTGTCAAATACCCATAATGATAAAAATATTAATTATAAATTCGCGTTTTGGGTATTTTCCCTTATAGCTTAACACTTAGGTATGCACTTTCTTAATGTAGCTAATATTCGGGTGTTTCGTCCGTATTTTAAAACGTTCGAACAAGAATATAATAGATTCATTACGTACAGAAATGATAAAAAAATGAAGGAATGAATAATCATTAATCGTCTCCCGTTTAACTAATAATTTCATTTATTTTATTCTGGTAACACTAATGACAGCTGTTTGGTTCGGCTGCGATTTGGCTCCGATTACGTTTCAGTTTAGTAAACGTTCGTTTGATAATTTACGTTAGCGGAATGCAAATTTACAGCAAAAATCGAAACGTAACCGTTACAGAAACGCTATTGATGATCGATCGTTGTAAATAAGTAGAATTGGCCCCCTGGTATCGGCGTCTTGCTGCAGTCAGAATTTTTTAGATCTCATTTTGTACATCTAATGCCTCGTACAATGGTAGGGCTCGCAATTGAGCTGCAACATTGTGAGCAAAATAATGGAATTCATCGCAATTAGACTGTGTATTTATAGCAGAAGAAATATTTTCCAAACGAGCGAGCTCACAGGTAATGGGTTCTTCTTGTGAGTTTCTCTTTCTACGTCGTGTTGATGAGCTGTTATTAGATGAACGGGATTGTGGTCGATCTTCTGTAGTCGTGTTGACGAGCTATTATTAGATGAACGGAATTGTGGTCGATCTTCTGTAGTTGAAGGATCACTTGGTTGTGAATCTTGCGATGACTCTTCTCTATCCTGTATTTGTAAAAAAAAACTAAGTTTATAAAATATAAACTTCACATATTAATTGTTTTTTTTACAGATTCCCGGTCATGGAGATTGGAAACGCATTGAACACGGATTTAGAACTAAATGGAATTTTCCTGGTTGTGTTGGGGCGATGGACGGTAAACATATAAATATACTCGCTCCTGATGATACTTCTGACTACTATAACTACAAGGGAGCCCATAGCATTATACTTCTGGCATTAGTTGATAATGACTATTGTTTTTCATACGTTAATGTTGGGACTAATGGTAGAGCTTCTGACGGAGGTGTTTATCAAAAATCGAATTTAGCATAAGCTTTGGAAAATAATACTCTCAATTTACCAGACCAATCAGTTGTTGTAGCAGATGCTGCTTTCCCTCTAAAGTCATACCTTATTAAACCCTATCGAACTACTCCAACGATTCGAAAAAAAATATTTAACTACCGTTTATCGAGAGCCAGACGAATCGTTGAAAATGCGTTTGGTATTTTAGTAACAAGATTTCGAGTTCTTAGGGATGCCATAGATATGGCCCCAAAAAATGTTGATAGAATTACATTAGCTGCCTGCTCTTTACACAATTGGCTTCGGAAAACATCTGATATGTACATCACACAAAGATGCGTCGACTTTGAAGATATACAACAACGTGTTGTGGTACCAGGATCATGGAGGGCACAACTGCAAAGAACTTTAGAAGGCTTACCACCTACACGCTACAGTAACCACGCTTCTCGACTGGCAGAAGCAATAAGAGACATCTACGCGCAGCTCTTTGAAACTACAGAGGCAGTACCGTGGCAATGTCATATGATATAAATTCTCCATCATCATTTCATTGTTCTGCCTATATGATACAAATGAATGAATAGAAAATGCTGTACTTATTCTATGATATTAAATAACTATGTTTTACTAACATTTAAGTGAATTTTTATTTATTAAAAATCGAAACTTACCAATTCCATAGAAATAGGGTCCCTGTACTCGCCAGTGCCTCCAAGAAAAGAATGCATTTCGTGAAACCAGGATGTGGATGGGTTGTACACAGTATCGGTACCAGAACCGGATCGCTTGGAACTCTCAATTTTTTTTAATTCGCTGTGGTAAACAGACCTCAAGTTTTTTATTTATGTTTTTATAATTTTCAAAGTCAAAGCAGGATCGTCCATGTTGGTTAATATATCTTGATATGCATTATTTCTTGCAGTATTGTTTTTGTATTCTGGTATGCGCGGATTCCATAGGCATTCATTGTTCCGATATAAAATCACAAATTTCAACGTTTTTTCGTCGCCCCAGCGAGACATTTTTGGCGCGAAATTGTGCACGCGCACCTGCTGCTAACGACTGATCGATACTAGCATGCTCAATAACCAAACCTGTTCACACACGCTATAAGCACGCCCCCTTCCACCCGCGCTGCAGGTAGCATGCCCAATAATCGCACGACCGTCGATTTTTGAGCAAACTCGAAACTAGCATGCTCATTATTAGCAATATTTCGACACACGTACCACTAAGTAGCAATTGCTCAAAAGTAGCATTCTTTCGTGCTACTATCTAGCATGTGTAACTGTACCTTTACATTCGAATAACTTTCGATTCTATAATGTTCCATAATTTCGTGCTACAATTATAACTCTTATTGACTTACTTTTAAGCTACAGATACACATGCTCGAAAGTAGCACACTACTAAGCATGCTTGACAGCATGCTAATATTGAGTATGCTGTCGTACTGGGTACACATGCTAGGTATTGGCATGCTAGTTTTGAGTATGCCGCTGTATTAGCATGCTCAAAGCAAACATCCCAGTCACACTTGCTACAGAACTCTTGCTGGTAGTACAAGCGCTGCCTTGAAATGTATAATCAATTAGCTATTCGTACTGAACTCAATAAAATTGAGTTTTTGCTCACGGTGAAATGTACTAAAAAACTGTTGCTGAAAAACACCAAAAAAACAAGAAATAGAAGGATTTGGGTTCGTGATTGGATAGCAAGAAGAGCCAATCTTGGAGCGAGCACTCGTTTGTTGGCAGAAATGCGAGACGAAGATACCGAGGGCTATAAAAACCATTTACGCATGTTGCCTCATCAATTTGATACGTTACTTTCAAAAGTTGAAGCCTCTATACAAAAGCGTGACACACATCTGCGAGATGCTATTCCTGCTAGAGTTAAATTAGAAATCACGTTGAGATTTCTAGCTGTTGGAGATTCTCTGCACACATTAGAGACACTTCATCGAGTGGCAAGATCTACTATATCTCAATTTATACCCGAAGTTTGTGCTGCGATAACCATGGCTTTAAAGGAATATAATAAGGTAAGAAAAACAAACATTATTTTTTAAAATGTTTATTAATTAAAACATCAACATTTATAGCAACAATCAAAATCAAATTGAGAAATATTTCACTCAAGACATATCCCAAGCTTTGCTTAGGACATCAGCTGTTCCTTCTGAAGTGCCTTGCATAGATGTCCGTCTAAGTAACGAAAAAGAGTCTTGATTTTGTATGTTAGATGAATACTGTGTGTATTCTGAAGTACCTTGAATAGATGCCTGTCCAAATGATGGCAACGGTTGTACATTTTGCGAGTTAGCTCGATTATCTTGAATTACAATTGGTTGATTTGGGGTGTACATAGTAGGAATGGATACGCTTCCAATGTTTGGATACAACTGTCGACGTCTAGCTGATAGTAAACTTGCTTGAATTTCAGCTTGCACATCCAATGCTAAATTTAATGACAGTGCGCGTAGTTGCGAAGCTACGTTAAGACCAAAATAATGAAATTCATCAAAATGTGGTGGATTATTTATATTAGAGGATATTTGTTCTAGGCGCTGTAAAGCAGCAGTTACTGAATCATTTGTTGTCGTAGACACTGCGTTTCTTTCTCTGCGAGCGAATCTCTGATATGTTAAATTTCGGCTAGAATGACTCGTGGTAGATTCTTCCTCAGTGGGTGACATAGGTCCAATTCCTACTTGTGACCGAGGTCTAGTTTCCATTTCCGATTGTGTAGTGCTTCGAGAGTCAGGTCTATCTTCGCTCATTAATGACTGCGAAGCACTTCTAGGCCGCTGGGTGTCGTCATTATTTGGTGATCCCGGGTCATCCTGAAAAATAAAAAAATACTCATAAGACACAAATGTTATTAATTTGAGTATTTTGTGTTTTGCAGATGCCATCCTATGATGAATGGAAGTTAATTGAAAATGGATTTCGAACTAAATGGAATTTTCCTAACTGTATTGGAGCTCTGGATGGTAAACATATAAATATTTTTGCTCCGGGCAATAATTCAGATTATTTTAATTACAAAGGGGACCACAGCATTGTGATGCTGGCTTTAGTTGATGATAAGTACTGTTTCTCATATGTGAACATTGGAACAAATGGAAGAGCTTCTGATGGAGGCATTTTCGCAAGATCATCTTTGGGACAAGCATTAGAAAGCCAATCTTTAAGTATACCAGAGCAATCTGTTATCATTGGAGACGCCGCATTTCCCTTAAAGCCGTATCTCATGAAGCCATATGCAAGAACACCTACCCAGAGAGAAAAGATATTTAATTATCGCTTAGCCAGAGCCAGAAGGATCGCCGAAAACGCTTTTGGGATTTTAGTAACTAGATTTCGAGTGTTTCTAAAAACAATACAAATGACACCAAGTCGAATGAAAATGAATGGAAGGCAATTGGAGCTGACTTTGAAAAGCGATGGAACTTTCCCAATTGCCTTGGCGCTGTTGATGGCAAGCATATTAAAATAAAGTCGCCGCCTGATTCTGGTTCATATTTCTTTAACTATAAACACTTCCACAGTCAGGTTCTTATGGCAATTGCTAATGCTAATTATGAGTTGATTTATTTTCACTTCGGTACAAAAGGCCGAGTGTCAGACGGTGGGGTGATAAAAAATACAGATTTTTATCAAAAACTTATTAATGGTACATTGGGTTTGCCACAACCAGGTTCGGTGAATGGAATAACGCTTCCTTATGTATTTATTGGAGACAAAGCTTTTGCTCTTAGGAACGATTTTTTTAAACTATTTAATAAGTCACAGCTCAATGAAACAAGAAGAATTTTTGATTACCGTTTATCCCGAGCAAGACGGATAATTGAAAATGTATTCGGAATTTTAGTTGCACGGTTTGGAATACTGAGTAATGAAATCAACCTGGACTTGGATAATATTGCTCCAGTAGTAATGGCTTGTTGTGCTCTACACAACTTTTTACGCCGTGAAAATCCAGACACCTACTCACCGCAAAATTGCTTTGATAGAGAAACCTATGAAAATGGAGAGATTCAAGAAGGTCTACAAAGTAACTTGTTTGGTCTCGAGAGAAGAAGAGGATCCGGTTTTCAGTCTGCAACTGATAGTAGAAACATATTCGTAGACTATTTTAATGGAAGCGGTGCAGTTCCGTGGCAGAACAATTATATATAGAATAGAAAAAGCTTAGTTTAACTTTAAATTTTAATAAAAAACTTGTACTCACCGAACTTCGTAGAACTCATTCCCTCATGCGGTATTTCCTGGTCTTTTAAAAATATTAAGTTACTAAAATAAGTTAGTTTAGGCGTATAAGCCTCATCGGCACTGCTTCCGGACACTAGAGAGTCAATCTGTTTCTTCAACTCTTTCCGAAACACTGTTCTTAAGTTATTAATCTTCTTTTTTACTTTATTTAAATCTGCAGTACTGTCAATTTTTCCAAAAGTACTTCATAACACGCTGTCCTCTTTACATTGTTATGATAATCTTTGTTTTGTTTTCCATAAAGGCTCTTGCTCTCTAAATAATTCAATAAATTCAATCAAATCATCATTACTCCATGTAGCCATTTTGTTTGTTTCGTTCATCGAGTATAGGTAGGTGAGAGTACGTAACGCGTTAGCCAAGGCGTGCGGTGCGTGCGGCGACCGGCGTCAGAGTGAGTCAAAATCGTTAACGATCTTGATATACACTATCGATTCGTCGTTTCGATCGGTCTGAAGCGACGGATCGTACAGACAAATCGTACCGTATATGGGGCCCTTTACAAGCATGCTACAAAGCAAACACATTCAGACATGCTTTAAACGCAGCCCCCACTACCCCGCTCCTCAGGTAGCGTGCTCAAAAATCAACAGTTGGTCGATTTACTAGCAAACTACTAGCTAGCATGCTATTTTCAAGCAAGGCCCAATACACACGCGCTACTTGATAGCATTTGCTCAAAAATAGCATGCTTTCGTGCTACTTTCGAGCATGTGTATCTGTAGCTTATTAGTGACTAATATTCTCTCCACCGAGAAACCCTCACTGACTTGACCATATATGGTCATGTTTGTCCGATGCTAAGCCGGTTGCCGCGTCGACTCGTAGTTAGATATTCCTCGTACCTATAGGATCCCGCCGCTCCGCGTGGATGATGTAATGATGATCCGATGCTGCGCTGCTTCGCGATGACCTAGGGCTCCGTTGCCCCCGCTGCTCCGCGTACTACGCACCCACGTGCACCATGTGTTTGTCGCGATCTTCACCGCGTCGTATGTACCTTCCTTAGGTAGTTATTCTTTCCGTTCCAAACTTAATGTTCTAAACGTAACGTTCCAAACGTAACGTTCCCCTCATGGGCCACCAAATGTTTATTGCAAGTACGGTGGACTCGTTCTCGGTACCTTACTGGAGTAACTCGTCCGCTCCGTCGCTGTCACCGTCACCGTCGCTCATATCGCTCGAAGAGGTGCAGGTTCGTGCTGATGGTGGCTTGATAGGTAGAGGAAGTGCCTCCTCTATGTTGACGATCTAGGGTGCTTCACTCCTGGGATTCGTCTAATAAAACGATGCTTCTCGTAATAAAGTTGTTTAATTTTCCCCTCAATATATTGTTACATGTATGGCGCGTCGCCGCTATGATATATATTACAATTGTAAGTAACATTACACTCAACGATCACATCAGATCATTTGTATCACTTATTCTATTCAGTATGACGCGCGACGCGTAACATAGTAACTATTACTACCTAATGCGGCTGCTACGCCGTGCGTGACCGTGCTCTAAGACGGCTTGGGTGAGACTACCAATAATATCCTGAGAGCGGCGCTGCGTGCGCTCGCGTCGTATAGGGATGTGCGCGTTTTGCATGAACAGTCAATTTCTTTCTTTATAACCACTCCTTCCTTGCCTCCCATCTCTTCCACTTTCTCACCAATCAAGGCCGTTTAAGGCCTGTTCTAACGTTGACTTTTCTTGCATTAATAACTTTTGTTGCAGACTGCGATTTCTAATTCCACTTACAAATATATCTTTTGTTAAATCATCTCTCAACTCACCTAATTCGCATGTCTCAGCCAAATATTTTAATTCTACCACATATTGCTAAAACGTTTCATTCTCTGGCAGTTTTCTGTTTAAAAGTCTGAAACGCTCACACGTAATATTTACTTTCGTAAGAAAGTGTTGGTCAAACTTTTTCAGTACATCGCATAATATGACATCAGCATTCAATTGAAATGATGCATAGATGGCATTTATTTCTTCTTCCCCTGCATGCAGTAACATTGCTATCTTTTTATAGTCCTTCACGTCTTCATAATAAGCCGTCACAAAGTTAAAAAATTTATTTTTAAAGCTTTTCCATTCCAAACCCGTTTCTGCTGGGTTTACCACCGAAAAAGATTCTAAAACATTGGCCATCATTGTGTATGATCGATAAAATAATAGTAGGTATGTCGTCTTCAAATTTCCATTCACAATCCAGTTTTCATTTGTTTTACCGCTGTCACCGTGTTTGGTAATCTATATAATCTAATCTGGATATAATTCGCAAGGTTGCCTGGCAGAAATTATTAGTAATAAGGCCGCCAATTGTGCATTTATATTTATTGCATCCATATGTTTGTTTTTTTTTTGTCCATTGATGTACAATAAAGAATTTTTCATTAATTCATTCATTATATATATAAGTATATGAAGGTTTGTTTGTTGAATGTATATTTATTTAATATCTTTAGAAAAAGAAATAGAGGTATTTCTCCTTAATGAGAGATAGTTGAGAGATAGAAGTAACTTTAATATCCAAAACTACAATTTTGTACTTCAGAATGGTCCTAATGGTAGGTACGAGTATATTAATATGCAATAATTTAAAATATGATATTATACCAACTCCATACTATAATCATACACAAACATTAGCTTTCAGTGTAATTACAAATAGAGGTCGTTTGACTATTCTTACCGCATATACCCTTCCACCAGGGAAAACAATAATTTCAAGGTTAACATTATAAAGAAAATTTTGAAAGATCTAAACCCATAGTGTTGGCAGTAGTGATGCGACTCAAATAGGATTTTGTGACTCGAGTCATTCGAGTAATTTAACTATCTCATTCGAATCGTACTCGAGTGTTCGAGTCACTCGAGTAAAAAGTCTCTCTCGACTCGAAACTTGCAACTCGAGTTGCAAGTTTGCAATTGAGTGAGATCTCTTTTAGAAACATTTAAACAAATACCTATATTAATTGACTCATTGTCACGGATGGAGTAATAATTGAAATGAAATACACATTATAAGAGTTTTTACATATTATTTATTTAAGTAATCAACAAACTGAAAAAATGTCTTCCTAAGAAGTAAGAATAATGCCATGAATGAATGATTGATAATAACAATCACATTTTATACAATTTTAATTACAAGTAATTTAGTTTTCTTTTTATAATTAGTTTTAACAATTATATTGTTGTGTAATAAGTAGTAGTAATGTGTAGAAGTAAAGTGACATTTAGCTTGTGGCATGGCGGCAATCGAGTGCATAGAGACTCGAGTAATATTTTTTTTCAATCGAGTACGAGTTTGAAAATTTCGCTCGAGTGACTCGAGTGAAAACAAGGCTCGAGTCGCATCACTAGTTGGCAGGTGACAAAATCTACTCGACAAAATCTACTAGAGGTATTGATGAGTTTATGAGTTTGAATTGTAACTCCTTGATGAGTTTGAATTGTGTATCTTGAATACTGGTTCCCCCACTACAGTTGGTACTATTCATCACCGACAATCAGCCATTGATATCACATGTGTCAGTCCATCCTTAGCACCTTTATGTGACTGGTCAGTACATGACGACCCCATGGCACACCATGTGAGAAGTTCTTATTTCACAAGGCAGACTGGTCCCTTTGTAAATC